CGGCTTCTCTGTGTTGGGGCGCCTCGGCCCATGTGAGGGGCCCCCGTGGCCTTCGGGGCAGCCCCGCCCGCGGCCGCCGCTGGCCTGTCCCTCCCGGGGCCCGGCTCGGGGCTCCCCGGCCGGGCGGGGCCAGGGGGCCCAGGGGGAGCCCAGGGCCGGGCGGGGGCCCCGCAGGGTGTGAGCCGGGAACCCCGGCGGGGCGGGCGGGAACGGGGGCGCCAGCACGGGGGCCTCGCGGGGCCGGACCAGGCCCCACGCGAAGCCTGGGCGGCGAGGCCTGGCCTCCGGGCAGAAGTGGGGGGCCGGGGCAAGGGCTCCCCTCGACGGCCTCTGGCAAACCAGCTGGGCCCGCCGGTCCCCGGGACGGAGGCTCGGGACCCCGGGTCGCCACAGCCTCGCCCCCGCGGGGTCCCCGGGCGCCCCCACCCCCACGCGCCCCAGGCCGGAGCAGCCCCCCACCCCGCACGGGAGAGGCTGAGACGCCGCAGCGGGCGGGGCCCGGCCACAGCCGCGGGGACACCCGCCCCGGAGCGAGCAGGGGCCAGACGCCCCGCGAGGCCGCCGGGGGACCGGGGGGCCGGGGGACCGGGGTGGGGACCAGGGGGACCGAGAGGACCAGGGAACCAGGAGGACCAGGGGGCAAAGGGGGACCGGGAAGAACAGGGGGACTAGGAGGGCGGGGGGACCGGGAGGAACAGGGGGACGGGGGGGAGGGGGACCGGCGAGACTGGGGGGAAGGGGGGCCGGGAGGAACAGGGGGACGGGGGGGGGACGGGGAGACCGGGGGACGGGGGGGGCCGGGAGGAACAGGGGGCCAGGGGGGGCCGGGGAGACTGGGGGAAGGGGGCCGGGAGGAACCGGGGGACCGGGGGACGGGGGGACGGGGAGACCGGGGGACGGGGGGGGGGCCGGGAGGAACAGGGGGCCAGGGGGGCCGGGGAGACTGGGGGGAAGGGGGGCCGGGAGGAACCGGGGGACCGGGGGGACGGGGGAGACCGGGGGACGGGGTGGGGGCCGGGAGGAACAGGGGGCCAGGGGGGGCCGGGGAGACTGGGGGGACGGGGAGGGGGCGGGAGGAACCGGGGGACGGGGCGGGGGGGGAGACCAGGAGGAACAGGGGGACGGGGGGGGACCGGGGAGGCTGGGGGGACGGGGGGGGGACCGGGGAGACCGTGGGGGACGGGAGGAACAGGGGGACGGGGGGTGACCGGGGAGACTGGGGGGACGGGGGGGGCGCCGGGAGGAACAGGGGGACCAGGGAGACTGGGGGGACGGGGGGGACCGGGAGGAACAGGTGGACCGGGGGGGGACCGGGGAGACCGGGGGGACGGGGGGCCGGGAGGAACAGGGGGACGGGGGGAGAACCGGGGAGACGGGGGGACCAGGGAGACTGGGGGGACCGCCGGGGGGCCGGGACCCCCGCGCGGGGTGGGCCGGGCCTCAGCGGAGACACAGGGGCGGCAGGTGAGCCCCGGGCTCACCCCAAAGAACTGGGAGAAGCAGCAGCGCCCCGAAGCCGGGAGGGGGACAAGGCCGCCCAGAGGGGGACAGACGCAAGGGCGGGGCGGGGGGGGAGAAAGGGGGGGCGCAGCACACGCGCCGCGGAACCCCGAGGCCACGACGGCCGCGCACACGCGGCACCGGGACGCGGGCTCAGACCGACCCGCCGCGGAGAGGGGCCGAAACGGGGCGCACAGCCCCCCAGACACACGGCGTCCAAGCGAGGCCCAAGCCTGCAGGACACTCACCCCCCACGCAGGCTCGCCCCAAAACCCAGGGACTCCGGCCAGCAGCGTCACCCGAACCCCGAGTCCCAGCAAACAGGGGCCTCCTGGGGGCGCCGAGCGCCCCGGCCCCGGCCCAGCCCACGCGGCGCGGCGGACCCCCGGTCTCCCCGCCGCCCCCGAGGGGCTCCGCCCGCTCTGCCCCCCACTGTCTCCGGGGTCCTCTCAGCTCTGGCCTGCGCCCCGGTTCGTGGATAAATAAAGAAGCCAAACTCGTCGCTCCGGGATTTAGGGGTTCAGCCGCGCGACAGGCAGGTGAACCCCGCCCCCCAGCAGCGCAGGCGCGAGTGAGCGAGCCCCGCCCCCGAGGGCCGCTTCTGGGGGAGCCCCGGTCCCCGCAGGGTCTGCGGGTGCGGCCGCCCGGCCCCCCAGGGCCCCCCGCCCCCCCCCGCGCGGGCCCCGGGCGGGGGGACTCACCTGGCGCCCCGCGGCGCGGCTCCGGCCTCGGGTTGCGGCCGGGAGGGCGCCCCGCGGGCCCCCCGCAGAGACGAGGGCGCCCCGACGCCCCGAGCAGCGCCAGGGCCCGAGCGGGGCGACCTGGGCCCCCCCGGGCGGAGGAGCCGCGCAGCCCCGGCCAGGGCGCCCCGGGACCGACGGGGACCCGCGCCCCGGCCGCCGCCCCGCCCCCCGGAAGCCCGGCCGGAGCGGCTTCCCCTGCCCGCGCCCCCGAGCGCCCCCTGCGGCCGCCGCCCGCCGCCCGCGCCCCGCGCCGCCCCCGCCCCGCCCCGCGCCGCCCGCCCCGCCCCGCGCCGGCCCCCCCGACCCCGCCGGCCCCCCCCGCGCCGGCCCCCCCAGACCCCGCCCTCCCGCCCTCCGGCCCGCGCCCCGGCGCCCCACGGATCCTCATCCTAAGACGACACCCCCGCGGGGAGGCGACGGCGCGGGACCCGCGATCGGGCTGGACGCGGCCCGCGGCCCCCGCCCCCCGGAAGGAACCAGGTCCCGCCGGCCCCAGCCGAGCCGCGCCGCGTGGGGGAGCCCCGGGCCGGTCCGCCGCCTGCGCCTCCACCGCTTCCCAGAACCCAGACTTGAGCGTCTCCCGAACCCAAAATAAATTAAACAGACGGCGCGTCGCCCCCCCCGCGCGACCACCCGCCCCGCTGCCCCGCGCGGGCCCCACGCGCCGGCCCGGCCCGGCCCGCGAAGGCGGGAACAGCCGCGCGGCTCAAACGGGAGCTGCCGGGCCAGGCCGGGCGCCGGCCCGGGACACGCACACCCCACCCGGCGGGCCGCCGCGAGCGCTGTTGGGGCCCGGGTGACCCCAACGTCCTTTTGGCGGTGACTTGCCCGGGCCAGGGCGCCGAACCCAGTTCCCTCGAACCCCACGGCCGGGCGCCCCGGGAAGCGCATGACTCGCCCCCAAAGCGCCTTTCCTTGGCCACCTCCGGGGCGCACCGGCGTCCCACAGAAGAGTCCACTGGACCCCGAAAACGCGGCCCTCCCTGCGGCCTCGGCGAGTGTCCGGCTGTCACCACCGAGGCCGGAGGGCGATCCCCGGCGGGAGTGACCCTCGGGGCACAGCAGACTCTCCAGTCTCCCCTCAGCAGTGGGTTTCCGGGGATCCGCCTGTTCTGCTCCCCCCGTCTCTGGGGAGTCCTCTCACCCCCGCACCTCTGGCCTGCACCCCGGCTCCTCTATGCCTAAGTTAATCTTAAATAAAAAAACGGCCTAACTGGAGAAGGGGTGTCTGTGGACACCACTGAGAGCGCGACCTCCACCAGGCCATCCTGGGGGGCGGCCGCACCCCGCGGTGCTGTCCCGAGGGGAGACAGCGCGGGCAGGGATTGGTCAGGGGCAGAAACTGACTCCCGGGGCCCAGCCCGGAGGGCGCCCAGAGCCATTGGAACGGCAGCCCCCGGCCCCCCCTGTGTCACGGCTGCTGCAGCCTCGCACCCCCGGGGTGCCCTCCCGGCTGCAAGTTGTGTGGGTTTCCCACGGGGGCGGGGGCGCATCCACCCGCCCAGTGGCCGAAAATACACCACAGGGGTGTCAGCCCACTGTGCCGTCAAGAGTGAGACCCGGGCTTTTTTTTTTTTTAAAAAAAGATTTATTTATTGGGCCTCCGCGGTGGCGCAGCGGCTGAGCGCTGGGTGGCGAAGCTGCCCGCGGCCTCTGCAGCGCCTGTTCGATCCCCGGCTGCTCCCCGGCCACCGGCGGAGGGAGGGTCCCACGTGGCGCGCAGACCTCTCCTGCCGCCCGCGGCTCCCCTCAGCAGTGTCCTTCGGTCCTTCTAGAAGCCTGCTCTGCTCCCCGCTCTGGCTCCTGTAAATTCTCTCACCCTCCCGCGCTTCTGACTGTACCCAGTGCTTGTATAAGTAAATAAATAAATCTTTAAAAAATAATAATAATAAAATAAAATAGATAACAAAAGTAGAATCATTAAAGCCAAAAGCTGATTCTTTGATTTCAATAATAGAATCTTGGCCAGATTGAACAACAACAAAAAAAGTATTCACAGTATCACAGATGAGAGCAATGGCATCACTGTTAAAAAAAGAAAAAAGGTGAATATGATCAACTTTGTGCCAGTAAATTCAACAACTTAGACTAAACAGATTTCTCAAGAGACACTATACAGCTCACTAAAGAAGACATAGACAACCTGAACTTCCCTGTGTTTTATAAAGCAGTGGGTTTGTAGTTATCAGCTTTCCCCCAAAGAAAACTTCGGGTTTGGGGCCTCCCTGGTGGCGCAGATGATTGAGTGCAGTGCTGTGAAGCTGTCTGCAGCCTCTGCAGTGCCATTCGATCTCTGCGGGCCTTGGAGCAACCCTCCTGGCCAGCAGACCTCTCCTGCCGTGCCCGCTGCTCCCCTCAGCAGTGTACTTCGTCAGTCTGCCTGCTCTGCTCCCCGCTCTGGCTCTGGGGGATCCTCTCACCCTCCCGCGCCTCTGACTGTGCCCAGTGCCTGTGTAAGTAAATAAATAAATTTTTTTAATACATATTTTTAAAAGATTTATTTATTTATTTACACAAGCAGGAGATCGAACCGGCGCCGCAGAGGCCGCAGCAGCACAGCCCAGCGCTCCACCGCGGCGCCCCCGGGGGGCCCGAGACCCGGTCACGTGCGCGCCGCCGTCGGGGGCCGCCTGCGCCGTCGCCGTCGGGGCTTGTGCGGGCGGACGAGGCCGCGGGCTCGGGCGGGCTCGGGGCCGTCGTCGCCGCCTCGGGGCCCGTCTGGGGTCTCTCGGCCCCGGGGGCGCGGCCCGGGCGGGGTCGGCGGCGCCCCGCGCTACCACATGAAGCGCTGCAGGTCGGGGCTGTCGGGCCAGCGGAAGGGCCGGTAGAGGAAGACGTAGAAGGTGGCGGCGTTGACGGCCGCGTAGCCCGCCAGCTCGCACAGCAGGCGCGACACGGCGGGCAGCGGCGCGTGCAGCCGGAAGAAGAGGAAGGGCAGGATGAAGTAGCGCGGCTCGAGCAGCCGGTGCGGCACCGTCACGGCGCCCGCGCAGGCGAAGAACATGGCGACCCAGAAGACGGACTTGGCGCGCAGCGCGTCGGCCACGCTCCAGCCGGCGAACAGGTAGCCGGGCACCAGCAGGTACTTGACGGCCGCGTGGCGCTGGAGGACGCGGCGCCACAGGTAGAAGGTGTAGTGCCGGTTGTCGGCCAGCAGGTAGGGGTGCGCGTGGGTGCAGCGCCCCACGGCCAGCAGCGCGCCCGCGGCCAGCGCGCAGGACAGGCCGGGGCGGCGGCGCGCGGCGCGCAGGAAGGCGCGGACGCGGGCGGGCGAGAGCAGGTGCGGCCAGGCGCAGAGCAGCGTGAAGCCGAGGAAGTAGAAGAGCTGCGGCAGGTGCAGCACGGCCTCGTGGCTGCCGCGGTCGCCCACGGCCACGCCGCCGTTGAGCAGCACGAAGGCGCCGCACAGCAGCCCGAGCGCCGCGTAGGGCCAGGTGAGCCGCAGCAGCGCGCGCAGGTGCCGGGGCGCCGCGGCGTAGGCGCCCGCGAAGCGCAGCGGCGCCAGCGGCCCGGGGCGCCGGCCGTCGCGCGCGCGCCGCTCGGCCCGCCAGGCCGCGGCCAGCCGCGCGGCCACCGCGTCGCCGGCGCAGAAGGCGGCCCACACGGCGTTGGTCTGGCGGAACAGCACGGCGCACAGCCCGAGCAGCGCGGCGGCCCCGTGGCGCCCGCGCAGCCCCATCAGGTGCGCGGCCAGCGCGAAGAAGACGGCGCCGGGCTCGGTGTAGTAGAGGAAGGTGACTAAGAAGAGCGGCGGGCTCGCGGCCAGCGTCAGCGCGGACAGCACGCGGCGGGCGGCCGAGGCGGCCTGCGGGCGGGCGGGGGTCACTCGGGCCGCGGCGCCCCGCGCCCCCCGCGCCCGCAGCCCCGCCGCCCGCCCCGCGCCCCCCCGCCCCCCGCGCCCCCCCCGCACGCACCTTGCGGCCGGGCTGCACCTCGCGCAGCAGCAGGTGCAGCAGGTACAGGTTGCCGGCGCCGAGCAGCAGGTTGACGAGGCGCAGCGTCCACGCCGAGCAGGCCACGCGCGCCGGCCAGCCGAGGACCCAGCCGGCCGGCCGCAGCACGGCCGCCGACAGCAGGTACAGGCCGGGCAGGGTGGTGATCATGGGGTCCCACTGCGGGGGGCGGAGGTGAGGCCCGCGGCCGGCCGAGGAGGGGGGGCCGCGGGCCACGGGGGGCGGGGCGGGGCGGGGTGGGGCGGGGCGGGGCGGGGCAGGTGGGGCGGGCCAGGCCCGGGGGCGGGGCGGGGCGGGGCGGGGGCCAGGCCGGCGGCCGGATCCCGACTGGGCCCGGGTCCGGGTCCGGGCCCGGGTCCGGCCCACGGCCGGGGCGGGCTCGGATCCGGGGCGGGGGCCGCGGGGCGGCCTCACCTGCGCGGGGGAGAAGCGGCCCTCGCAGAAGCGCTGCGCCTGCGGCACGTGGAAGGTCTCGTCCATGTAGGGCTCGCGCAGCGCGCGGCCGACGGCGGCGAAGAGCAGGCAGGACACCAGGAAGGCGCCGCTCAGCGCGGCCGACAGGTAGCAGCCCTCGAGCGGCGCCGCGCGGGCCGCCATGGCCGCGGGGAGGGCACCGGGGAGCGCGCGCCGGGCCCGGAAGCAGCCGCCGCGGGGGCGGGGCGCGGCGGGCGCCTGTCCGTCTGAGCGGGGCGCGCGCGGATTGGCCGGGGCGCCGGTGGGGGGGCGGGCGGCGAGCGCGGATTGGCCGGATCGCCAGGGGGGCGGGCGGCGCGCGCGGATTGGCCGGGGCGCCGGGGGGCGGGTTGCGTGCGGATTGGCCGGGGCGCCGGGCGGCGCGCGCGGATTGGCCGGGGCGCTGGGGGGGGCGGGCGGCGAGCGCGGATTGGCCGGATCGCCGGGGGGCGCGAGCGGCGCGCGCGGATTGGCCGGGGCGCTGGGGGGGGGGGCGGGCGGCGAGCGCGGATTGGCCGGGGCGCCGGGGGGCGGGCGGCGCGCGGCGGCCGGAAGCGAGGAGGGCGTCCGCTGCTCGCCCCGCGCTCGCCGGCAGGGGGCGCGGCCGCCGCGCTCAGGTCCCGGGCAGCCGGGTCGGCGGCCCCCGGGCGCGGGCGGCGGCGCGCGTCCGCGAAGCGGCCCTGAGGCGAGGAGCCCGGCCCCTCACGCCCGGGCCTCCGCGCCCCGCGCCGCCCACCGTGCCCGCCCCCGTCAGGACGCCTCAGGCCCCCGCCCCCCTCGGGCCCCCGCCCCGGCCAGGCCCCCCCAGAACCCCCGCCACCCCTCAAGGCGCCCCGCGCCCCCAGCCGTTTCCTCCCCCCGCCGCCGGCCACGCGGGCTCCTGGCGCCAGGGCTGGGCGCGGGTCAGCCTGTCCGGAGCCGGGAACCCGCCCCCACCTCTCCCCCCAGGTCCCCGCAACTTCCTCCCAAAGGTCCCCCCAGCCGCGCACCCTCGCTCCACGCCCCCCCGCGACCCCCCTCCCGCTCCCTGACCCCCTCCCTCCGCGCCCCCCAGCTCCCTCCGCGCCCCCCCAGCTCCCCGGCGCGGCCGTGGGGGCGCCCTCGCTGTCCGGAGGACCCGGCCCGCGGGCTCCGGGCTGGGGTCGGCCTGGCTGAGGCGTCAGGGCGGCAGCCAGACCCCTGGGGCTCGCTCCGCCGGCTCCTCCTTGCTCTGGGGGCGCGGGGAGGTCGGGGGACACCCCGCCCCGTTGCCCTGCACTGGGCTCGCCTGCGCGGCAGCGAGTCTGGGGACGACCCGCGCTCTGCGCCCCAAGCCCGCCCCCCGCGGACCCCGCTGCTGCCCGAGACCCCGCAGGGCGAGCCCCGGAGCCGACTGTCCCCGGGTGGGCGCCGCCCCGCGCTGCCCCGTGTCCTCGGAGACGCCGGGGCCGCCTCTGGGCGCAGGGGACCTGCTTCGTGGTGTCGCAAAGCCCCTCCTCACTGCCACCTCTCGGACCCCCCAAACTTTCAGTGTCCCCTGCCAGTTTGGCCTGGGGCGTCTGGGATCCCCAGCCTAGAATAGAGGGCCAGGCCCCCTCGGGCGCTGCCTGCGCTCAGCACAGCTCAGGGGGCCCCTGGGACTCCCCACGCCTCACATACACCCACGAGGTAAGTGGAAAGTGGGTCTCCCTGGTGGTTTGGGGGTCTCTGGCGGGACCCCGGGTTCTGCCCGTGCTTCGGCCCAGGGACGTCGCCCAGAGCCGTCTGCCGGCCAGACCCGCGGCGATGCTGGTGGAGTCTGTTGCTTTCCTCGCCGCTGCCCGGGCTCAGGCCGGCACCCCCGCCTCCGCGTGACTGGATTTCCTGCCCGAACCAGCGGCACCTTGGGGAGCGGGCGTGGACTTGAGGGCAGGGAGGCGGCGGCCCGGGTTTCTGTCCCTAAGGCCCTTCAAAGTGAATGTTTTCTCGCCACAACAGATCGCACCGCGGCAGAGGACAGCGGCGTCCAGGAATGTTCCGTTTCTGAGGCCGACTTCGTTCCCGTCGTCGAGGTCTGAAGTCGACGTCTGTGCGGACGGCGGGGTGTGCAGTGGGGTCTGTCACAGCCCCGGGACCGGTGGCAGCTCGGCTCTGGGGTGACGCGGCGCTGGCAGCGGCACAGGGTAAGTGGTCACGCCGCGATGACAGCTCTGGAAGGAAACTCTCCTGCGTGTTCGACTCGGGAGCCCTCAGCCCCCTCCCGCTGCCGGGCCCACTGTCTAGTCACCAGTCCTGGCTCAGGGCCCGCAGGCGACGGGGACATTGCGCTGACACGTAAAATCGAACTGCACGTGTCCGGGGTCGAGCTGGTGCCCCGACTCTCGGCAGGAGAGGGAGCAGCGTCACGTGTGGTGTCTTGGCCCGGAGCCCTCAGCCCCGGCCTCCGTCCCCCGGGAACATCCAGACGCGGCCCTGCACCCGGAGTGCGCTCACTGCATGGCAGCCCGGGGCGCCCGGGGGCGTGGGCTCTGCTGGTCTGTGTCCAGACGCTCAAGGACAGCGTCGCCTCCTTCCTCTCGCCGTCTCGGCTCAGCGAGTCCGCGCGATTGCAGAGGGTGGCCCGCAGCAGCTGAGGCCCGCCAGGGCTGGGCCGCCTCCAGGGAGGGGTCTGTAGGCCTTTGCCACCGTCTGGTTGGGCTGCTGGTTGCCAAGTGTGACGAGTTCCCTGCTTGGAGAGCAGCCCTTTGGTGGAGGCCTTTCACAGATCTTTGCGGGTCTGTGGTTTGATTTCTCTTCCGCTTGCAAGCGTGGGCTGTTTCGCCTGATGGGATCACCTCCGCCGAGGGGCGGCTGGGGAAGCTCACCGGGATCGCAGGACTGGCTCTACGGATAGTGCCATGGGGGTGTTTTTACTGTAAATTTAATTTTTAAAATACACACGTATGCGTTGATGTCAGCTTTCCAGTGCTGCAGCGTCACAGGCCATCGTGGTTTAGGTTAGAGGAAACACGTTGGAGAAAAATCCTGAACCAGTCCGCGCAGAGACGGACATGGAGTCGTCCAGTGTTGGCCTCTTGCGGGTCCCTGCACCGGGGCGGGGGTGGGGGGTGGCCAGAGCCTGGGGTCCACTGCCAGTTCCTGGCCCACCAGCCTCCAGTGCCCAGGTCTAAAGGCCGAGGGCTGAACCCACCGTGCCCTCCCCAGCCTGTCGCCGGTGGCCGGCTCACAGGCCTGCACCCAGAAGAGGAGGTCTGCAAGCAGCAGCCGCTCACACAGCAGCTCCGAAACGTGGCTGTGACCTCCTTCTGCACAGAGCAGCAGCTGCTCCAGGAATCACCATTCTTAGAATTGCAAAGAACAAAGCATCGTAGTTCACAGAAATGCACTAGAGTTTATTTTTTTTCAATTTTTAAAAAATATTTATTTATGCATACAAGAACTGGGGTACAGGCCAGAGGCGGGGTATGTGTGAGAGGACTCCCCAGAGACAGAGCGGGGAGCAGAACAGGCGGATCCACTGAAACACACTGCTGAGGGGAGCAGCGGGGAGGCAGGAGAGTCTGCTGCGCCCTGTGGGCAGCTCCCTGGCCGGGGATCGAACACGTGCTGCAGAGGCTGCGGACAGCTTCACAGCTGCTGTGCTAAACCCCTTGCGCCACCAGGGATGCCCCGAAATGCACTCGATTTTATCACTTATTTTACATCTCGTCTTGGGAGCAAATGTATTTCAGGATTTGCTCACTTGAAGTCCACACTCTGAGCATTCGATTCTGTTACACACAGAAGGTGGCAAATGTCTCCTTTGAAAATGAATTTCTTTAACACTTCTCAACTAGTAGAAACTACGAGCTGGAAGATCTCTAATTATAAGACGAACCTTTCAATGCGAGCACTAATGAAGCTGTTACAGGGCAGGAAGGGGCAGCCCAGGGCCCCCAAACCTGCCCGCTCTAAACAGGTTCTGCCGTCCGCCGCGTCAGGACAGCACTCACAGACCGCGGCGGGGAGCAGCGTCCGTGCAGTGAACGTGCAGCACAGAAAAGGGGAAGAAGAGCGTTTCCAAGCCCAGCACCCAAAGTCACCCGCCCCTCAGGGGTATGGCTCCAGGCAAGCAGGGTTGGCCCAACGTAGGGCCACTGAGGCCCGAGAGCCGGCCCCGGTCTACGGCCCCTCCTGGGGACCTGCGGGAAAGGGGCAGCGGGGGCCGGCGCGTCCGGGAGGAAAAGAGCAACCTCAGAATCCAGGTGCGAGCTGCCCCGTCCCGCCCTGGGGCCCGCGTCCGTCCCGACCGTCCAGGGCCGGGAAGGCCCCGCGGCTTCTCACGCGTCTCCGCTCCGCGTCCGTCCTCCCCGGGCTCCTCCCGCCCCACCCTCCTCCTCCCGGCTCCTCTCCAGCTTCTCCCCCACCTCCCTTGGTCCAGGCAGGGGACCTGGAACCCCCCCTTTCCTGGGGACTCCCCGTTACAAAAAGCCTTACCGGTAAAGGAACGGAAGTGCACCAGGGTGGAGCAGTCCTCTCCCTGCTAAAGGAACAGCTTTTTCCACGACTCTGTCCAGAACACAAGGGACTCAGCCAAGAGGGGGCCTGAGGGCTCCCGTGTCCTGCGGCGGGGCTGGGGCACTGCGCCCCCAACTCCCTCACCCCCGGAAGTGGTGCCACGGCTGATGCTGCTTCTGCATCCTCAGGGCCAGAACCTCAGGAGTCTCCAAGGCAGCACACCCCTCCAGCGCGGACTGTGTGGCGCCCGCAGAAGGGGCAGCACCCCCCTCAACACGCCAGGGCTCGGCGAGGGCCGCAGGGTTCATGCTCCCGGACCCACCACGGACGGGTCGGGGCGCCTCACTGGCCTGCGGCGAGCTTGCGTCATGGGAACTGAGGCCACGGACCCGAAACACGCCCATCCAGAGTCTCTGACCCCAAACACAGCGTGCTGGGGCCTCCAGGTGCGGACCCAGGGTCAGGGCTGGCTCAGGAGCGGCACCGGGCAGCGGGCGGGCGGGGCCCCTGGGGGCACTCAGCGGACAGGGCCCTCGCCCTCCTCATCCTGCTCCTCCTCGGCTCGAGCGCCTCTGCCTCCTGCTGACAGCACACAGCCCGTGATTTCCCACTTTCCTGTGACTTTCTTCTGCCACGTTCACCCTCTGGGGCCTCCGCCCTGCCCACCAGCCAGGACCTGTGGCTCGGCCACTGCTTGACCCTCCCCTTGAGTGTCATGCCCTCCTGCCCGGTCCCCACGTCGCAGGTCAGTCTGTCACTGTGTCAGGCTGTGGCTGCTTCCCTGGGCTCCTGGGGAGCCCCGGCCGCGTGCCCCCCACCCCGCCCTCCAGCTCTCCGGTGTCCTTACATTTCCTCAGTGTTCCTCGTTGGTTGAGTTAGGTAGGAGTTTTACAGCTGGTGGTGCCATGTGGCGAGGTCTGAGCCTGGACCTGGCGTGTGCACAGTGGTGAGTTCCCAGAGATGGCGGTGAAGCTCGTGTCATGGAGTTTATCGCCTGCTCTGTGCATTGTGTGACTTCAGGCTGGAAAGCCAAGTCTTTAGTCCATTTTGACAACTGCTAGGTCTGGCGTGAGACGGTGGACGAGTCTCGCTCTCTTGCATGCCGCTGTCCAGTCGTCCCAGCACCATTCCTTGAACAGACTTTCTCCAGTGTGTGCTCGTGCCTTCCGAGTCGTAAACTAACTGCAGATTTTGTGTGACTCTATCCCTGGACTCGCAATTCCATTCCATTGGTCTGTCTGTCCGTTTTTACTTCAGTACCTGACTGTTCTGATGACTACGGCTTGGTCATATAGTTTGAAGTCAGGGACTTTGATACCTTCATTTTCTTTCATTGTTTCTTCAGAATTGTTTTGGCTTTTGGGTTATTTTGTAGTTCCATATAAATTTTAGTATTCTTTGTTCCATTTCCTGGAAAAGTACCACGGGGGTGTTTTAGGGATTATTGGATGTGCATATTGCATGGGGTCAGGATACTATTTTAACAATGTTAGTTCTTCCAACCCACAAGCATAAAACTTTCCATTTCTTTTGGTTTTTTTTCCTATTTCTTTTAACATATCTTGGAATTATCAGAGGATGTATACTTCACCTCCTTTGTTAATTTAGCCCCAGCTATTTTACCTTTGTGGTGCAGTTTGTAAATGGGATTGCTTTCTTAATTTCTTTCTTCTAATTGCGGGCATATATACGTGCAACAGATTTTAATATATTGATTTTTATCTTGCCCTTTCATATTCATTTATTATCTCTACCTTTTTTTAGTGGAATCTTTTGTAATGTAAGCTACTGTATCATCTGCAGTGAGTAACAGTGGAGAAGGGGACACCCTCACGTTGTCCCTGACCTCAGAGGAAAATCTTTCACCGTCGAGTGTGATGCCGGCTGTGACTTTATCACTTGTGACCTCAGTTACTCTAGTTCTAGTTTTATCATAAGTGGGTGGTGAATCTTGCCCCATGCTTTTCTTTGCTGCTAGCTGCTTATTCGGCCATACTGATGACATCCCCTATTTCACTTTTTTTTTTTAAGATGTACTTATTTATACAAGAACTGGGGTACAGGCCAGATGCGTGCGAGGGTGAGAGGATTCACCAGAGACAGAGCGGGGAACAGAACAGGCAGACTGATGAAATACACTGCTGAGGGGAGCAGCGGGAAAGACAGGAGAGGTCTGCCTCGCCATGTGGGATGCTCGCCAGCCGGCCTGGATCAAACCCGCACTGCAGAGGCTACGGACAGCTGCACAGTGCCGCATTCAACTGCTTGCGCCACCAGGGAGGCCCTATTTTACATTGTTAAGATACTTTAATTTCTATTATTTATGAATCTGAGTTCTCAGTCACCTGATCACCTCTGCTGCAGTGGCCCTACACCTCATCGGTGAGAGGTGTTTATGTCCTGAGGGTGCTCCCCTCGCCTTGTCTTCAGAACCGAGGACCCTGCGGGAGCTGGGTGCAGCACTCCTTGCCAGCCTCCTGCTTCTTCCTGTCTTCTCTTGGAGGCTGACACGCACCCATGCTGCTCAGTCTGCGCCCAGGCACGTCGTCCTCTGAGGCCCTGCAGTCTCCCTGTCGCTCAGGCGAGAAAGACTGGGTCTTCTAGCAGGCCGGGAGGGAAATATCCGTGATTGTCACATTTACAAGAACACAGTTCTCAGCGCTTAGCATGCCGGGAGGAGGAGGATGCCTGGAATCGGTCAGACCCTCAGGCCTCTCAGTCCCAAAGGGGCTTCTGTCCCAGGGAGACATGGCTGGCGTTTGGGATCCAGGGGAGGAGGAGACGTGGCTGGAGTCGAATAAACTGGAATGAGAGCTGAGCGGCTGGAAGCAGGCTGCCCGCAGCCCCCACCCCCATCCCGGCTCCCCTCCCCACCCCACCCCCGCGTCTGCCTGGCACCTGCTGCCCGGAGGGTGATGGTTGGCCACGCTCCCTCCCACGGTTTCCAAGCCGGTTCTGGGATGCGGGAACGGCAGAGGTGAGGTACACGTGTCGTCTCTCCCTCGTCCTCCAAGGAGCGCAGGCCCCGGGGACCGCCGCCAGCCGGCGCGCGGTTTCAGTTCTGCTCAAAGAGAAGCAGGAAAGACGAGTCCCCGTGCCCTGTCCGGCCGCGGGCCCACGGGTGGGGAGGGCGGCGTGAGGATGCAGGGCCTGCTGGCCGCTCAGACAACCCACTTGGTTTTATTTTTCAGAGGCCTGGTGGCACGGTCAAGATGTCCGGTCAGCAGCCAGGACAGGCTGCCCGCCAGGGCGGTGCTGGTGGACGCGGGGGCAGGACCCCAGAGAAAAGCGGAGGCGACGAGCTCGGCACAGACCTTACAGCACGCCACGCCGCACGTGGGCAAGGGCCTCCGAGCTGACTCTGGCCACATGACCCACTCCCAGCTCTGGGAGAAGCTGTGAGCAATGCAGGGGCCCGCGGCTGTCAGGCCAGCAGGGGCCTCTGCTGCCTCAGGGCTCGCTCTTGGCCCGCAGATTCCTTTTTTGAACCTCAAGAGTGTTCTGGAGAAGGGGCCTCCCTGGTGGCGCAAGGGGTTAAGACGCAACCTATGAAGCTCACCGCAGCTTCTGCAGCACAAGTTCGATCCTTTCCTTTCCAGGGAGCTACCCACACGGCGCAGCAGACCTCTCCTGTCGCACCCGTTGCTCCCCTCAGCAGTGGATTTCAGTCAGTCTGCCTGTTCTGCTCCCCACTCTGTCTCTGGTGAGTCCTCTCACCCCCCTAAAAAACTCTGGCCTGTACCCCAGCTGGTATATGTATAAATAAATAAATCTTTAAAAAAAAAAAGTGTTCTGGAGACACGTGCCTCCAGACTCCAACCCTAAGACTCTCAGTAGGTCTCCCTGAGAGCACTGGCCTCTGGCCCAGAGAGGACCACAGCGTCCCGGGAGAGTCAGCACAGCAGCGCGAGGCCGAGGGGGCCCACACCCTGCCTTCCTCAGAGGCCCTCGTCACAGTCTTCCCGGCACTTTCCCCCGAAGAGAGAATCTGTTCGAGGCCGTGTCTTGTATGTGAGGTCACCCCGTCCTCCGCCATCACCCTGCGGCCTGGCTGGCTTGTGCGGTACCCTGGGGTGCTGCTGGGCTGTGTCCTCACAGGTGGGATGCGTGTTTGGGGTCAGGGTAGGGCCTAGCGAGGCCACGTCCTGGGCCCAGGTGAAGCCTGACACCGTCTCTCCCCCTCCTGCCCCTGCCTTGTCCTCCTGCCGTGTGTGTGTACTGCAGGGACACGCAGCGACGACGTGACCCCCACGGGTGCCGGACCCGCACACACTACTTCCCCTCGCGGTGGGAGAAGCCCCGACTCATGCCTGCTCTGCTGTGGGGCGCCCCCAGTCCTCAGCCTCTGCGGGCGGCACACAGGGGCCGGCCGTCCTCATGGGAGCCGTGCTGCATGCGCCGTGGACCATGAGGCTTATCCTCAGGCCCAGCTCCTGGAGGCCTGCCCAGCCCTCCCGCCCCGGCCCCTGCTGCGGGAGCCTCCTGGGCAGCTGCCCCCCTCCCCCTCCCCCCCACCGGCTCCTGTCACGGGGGCGCGGCCAGGCCTGCTCGTGACCGCGTGTGTCATCGCTTCTGGAGGGGCGGAGCCGACAGAGAAAGGTGAGTTTCCCAGCGCTGTAAATCGTGCGCGTCTGTCCGACAGGCTCCGAACCATGAATCACAGTGACGCAGCACAGCCCCGGGCCGCAGCAGTTATTTTAGTAGCTGCTTTTTCCGTTTCCGCAGCTCGCTCCCCTCGGGCACGAAGCTCAGGCCGGAGCTCGCTGCTGCCTGTCAGCCCCCGGGGGCAGCGCGAACCCGTCCAGGCTGTGCCTCTGACAGGTGCTCGCCCACGCCCGGCCCCATGGCGCTGCCTCCCTCCCGAGGAGCCGTTTTCTGAACCGAATCATTGTTAACTTTGCCCCTTTGTCGTCCATGAGCCCGGTGCGGGGCGCAGAGGGTTCCTGTGCCGCTACCCACTCAGGTTTGTCCCCCCCACTCCCGGCCTGTCTGCCCTGTCTGCCCCCGCCGAGCCGGCCCCACGGGGGCGCCTGTCAGAGGGAAGACGCCGGGGCCTTCCACCTGCTGCCCCAGAAACGGCCCCTTGTCTCCAGGCAGAGCCTGCTCCCCCGCCCTGCCAGTGCCCCCGCCCCGGCGCGTCCAGGGGAGGCGCTCTCCGACGGGCAGACACCGGCAGGAAAGATGGCTGACAGGCTGCCGACCTTTCCTGAAGAACATTAGCTTGTCCCTACAGCGGACATGAAGAAAACACCCCGAGGCGTCCCCGCGCGCAGCCGCCGCGCCCCGGGTGGAGGAAGGCTTTGGGAGCAGAGGCGGGCGGGCGGCCGGGCTGGGCCCCAGGGCTCCGGTGGGGAGGGCGCGGCCCGTCCACTCCGCACTTCGCCCTCAGTCCGCGTCCATCGTGACACTCCGTGAGGCTCCCACGCGGGCGACCCAGCGCCCTCTGCTGCCCAGCCCGCTCTCTGGGGGCCTGTCCTGGCCCCCCGTCCGCAACCGTGTCCTCGCGGTGCCGACCGGGCCCCGACACCCGGGACCCTTCCACCTCGGCCTTCGCTGAGCCCGGGGGCTCCTCCCCGCGAGCTGGTTCCTCGGCTTCGTGCCGGCCTCGCGGCCATGACCGTGGACACGGGGGCCGCAGGGCTCCCAAGCTGTCCCTGAGACTTGGCTGCTGTGAACACACGAACACACCCGGGGGTGCCTTCCGCGTGACGACGACGGGCCGCGGCCCCGGAGCTTCGTTAAACGACAGATCCGGGGTCAGAGTGAAGCAGAAGCCACCGCCACGTCCCCTCACCTGAGGCCGCCTCTGCTCGGGAAGCAGGATCCTATGAAGCGCTGGAGCCCCCGGCGCACAGCCCCCCCCCCCAGACGCACAGGCTCTCCCAGACGCACAGGCCCCCTCCAGACGCACGGGCCCCCCCAGATGCACAGCCCCCAAGATGCACAGGCCCCCATGGCTGCGGCGCTGCCCCCAGACTGGCCCTGCCGAGCTTGCCCTGCAGCTGCTCTTCTCCAGGAGCAGGTGGGGGTCAGGTGGGGCCAGGACGCTGCCCTGCGTTCCCCCAGACCTGCGCCTGCTGCCCCGGCGGGGCGTGTAAGCCAGGCAGCAGGCTGCGGATGGCAGAGGACAAAACGGGTGGCTCACACCCTACTGCTCACCGTGTGCCGGCCACGCTGTGCCCCTGCGGCCGCTGTATGAGGAGCGAGCGCCCCAAGCGGCCCGGGGCTCGGAGGCCCTGGGACGGCCCTCCCAGCGGCACGGGTCGTGAAGAGGTGGCCGTGGACTCCGAGTCGGGCACAACTGAGTAAGTCAACACCAAGCCCCGCTCCTGGCCTGGCGGGCAGGTCTGGGAGCTGGAACAGAGGGGGTGGGGGGGTGGACAAAGCAGCCCCGGGACATAAAACTGGCCACGCGACTGGAAGAGCCGGCCAGCTCCAGGAGGCAGGTCCAGGGCATGCTCCTGTGCCAAAGGCCGGCGCCCGAGACCAGACCACTAGCAGGCAACCGGCACCCGAACAGGGCCTCCCCTGGTGGCGCAGCGGTTGAGCGCTGGGCTGCGAAGCTACCTGCAGCCTCTGCAGCGCCAGTTCAATCCCCGGCCGCCAGCGAGGGTCCCACATGGCGCGCAGACCTCTCCTGTCTCACCCGCTGCTCCCCTCAGCAGTGTACTTGGGTCCTTCTGCCTGCTCTGCTCCCCACTCTGGCTCTGGTGGATCCTCTCACCCTCCCGCACTTCTGACTGTACCCCGTGCTTGTATAAATAAATAAATAAAAAAAAAAGAAAGCCGCGGGGACAGAGCGCAGACCTCCTCCCCCACCCCCTGCCGTCCTCCGAGGGCCGGGGCCTCGCCTGGCCAGTGGGACGTTCCCACAGGGGCAGTGGCCGCTGTTCTGGGCCAGGGACTCCAGTCAGGGGCCAGAGGCCTTGTGCCCGTCACCAGCTGGGGGTCCGCAAGGACTCTCCGGGGCCCTGCCCAGGCTGAGCATCTGTGCGTGGAGGGGAGGTGGTGGTGGGGCAGGCGGAGACCCAGACAGGATGGGGAGCCGGGCAGGGCGAGGCTGCGGGAGGCAGCGTTTTGTTCCCAGGCTTTTGTCTGCGGTTTGACGCACAGTGAAAGGCTTCCTTTGAGAGCGCGGGGCCTCGGGCTGCGTGTCCCAGCTCTGTCCTTGTCTTCCCACAGCTGCTGCTGAGTCTTTCCTCCCAGGGCGCTCGCCAGCGCAGGGTCCCCGCAGCAGCCCGGCCTGCCCCAGCGGGGCACCGGCTCTGGACAAAGCAGCTGACTTCTTCCTCAACTCAGCGGCTGGAGCAGCCCTTGCGGCTCCCACCTGCGTGCGCGCCCCACCCGTCTCGCAGCCCCACTTTCCAGGGCTCTGGGCTGAGCAGCCTGCACTGGGCCCCTCCAGCCGGCCTCTGGGGGCAGAAAGGGCGCCCTGTGCTGGGGCTGTGGTGGCAGCTCTTCCTGGGCGTCCTCTGCTCGCGGCTCCTTGATTTCCTCATTGCCAAGTCCCGGGGCTCCAGTGCCAGACCCTGCACCCCCTCAGCGGCAAGCAGCCGTGGACGGCGGGGGGGAAGGCGGGGGGGAAGTGGGGGACAGGCAGTGGACAGCCAGGCCTGTGCGGCTGCAGGGACACCCCGGGCGCACACGCAGCAGGGTCTGCTGGCTGCAGCCTCTGGCTTTGGGGTCCGCCACCTCCTTGGCCGCCCGGGCCGCGACACGGCGCCCTCCTGGGTCCTGCTGCAGCCTTGGCCTGCTGGGCGGAAGGTCTGCGAGGCCCTGGCCTGCGTCCCGGCCGCTGTGTCTTCCTGACCCGGGTCCGAGACTCTTTACAGATTCCCGGGGCCCGTCCTCGCCCAGACACGTGCGTCGCAAACGCAGGCCAAGGAGGTGGCGGGAAGGCACCGCCTCAGGAAAGGCCCACAGTGGGAAGTGGCCACAGCTGCACCCAGACGCCCAGCAGGGCCCCTGGCCATGGGCCTGCAGGGAGGGCGCCCACCGTGAGCACGGCCCTCGCGGCTGCCCCCCACGTGGCTCTTGCGTCCCTCCACCCCCTGGCCGCTTAGCAACGTGGCTGCCCCGCGGAGGGGGTGCTGACCCCAACCAGGGCTCCCCGCAGGAGCGGCTGCCCCCCACCCTGGCCGCCCTCAGGGGCCGGCGCTGAGACACGAGTGTCCCTGGCTCCTCCCGGACACGCACAGGCCCGGGGTCCACAGGAGGACGCCTGCCGGGACCTGCCTGCTGGGCGCCGGGGAGAGGTCTGTGGGGTCCTGGGGCCAGAGCTGGGGGTCGGACGCGCCCCACAGTCCGTCTCTCATGCATGGGGTCCCGCGGGCCAGGCCCCCCACCCCTCGGCCACCCTCGGCGCCCCGCCGGCTGTGTCGCGCCCGACCCGCGGGGCCCTGGCTGGCTGGCTCACCGCCGCCTGCGAGCAGCTAAAAATACCGGATAATCACCTTTCCGGCTGCCAGGCGGAGGGACGCGAGGCCGTGAGTCAGTCCTGGCCGCGGGCGGCTCTGAGTCAGCTCCCTCTGGACGTTCTTGGCACAAAGAAGCTGGGAGGGAGCCCCCCGTGGCCCGGGGCTGTCCAGTGGGGGGGCCGCAGCGGGACTGGGGGGCGCGCGTGGGAGCCGGCGGCGGGTGGCCCGGGCTGTGGCTACGTCAGCCGTGGCCGTCCGCTCGCGCCCCCGTCACCGTCCGCCGAGGGGGAGGAGACGCGCCTCCTGCTCCGGCTGCCCCAAGGCCGGGATCGCGCCCTCCCTGGCCCTGCCCTTCGGGCGGCTGGGGACAGGGACGCGGCCTGGAGGGTGCGGGCCTCCCGAGGACACGTCAAGGCGTCCTGCTGCTGCCCGGGCCCCTCCCTCGGCGCTCCCGCCCGGCACCCTCAGCCACCGCCCGCCCGCCCGCCCGGCCCGTCCTCCCCGCGCCCGCGGGCGCTGCGAAAACCCTGCGGGGACAGGCCGGGCCTGGCGTCTACCCCGCCCGTGAAGGCGCGGCCTCCGCGTCCTGAGCCGCGGCTGGCGTCAGACCTGGGCCGGCGCGTGGGGGGTCCCGGGGCGGGCCGGGGTCGTCTCGCGCCAGGGACGTGTGGCCTCGGGGTTCCTGGCTCCTGTTTGTCGGGAACGTGGCCGTCCACGCTGTCCGCCGAGCCCAGGCTGGGTTCGTTCATCTGCGTTTCGGGCACGCAGGGGAGAGCGGGCCCTCTCCACGTCCCGCCCGGGGGTGCGCGCCTCTCGGCCGCTGGCGCCCACACACGCGCCTGGAGCTGCGCGAGTCCCTCCCGGGAGAGGCCCGGCCTCGGATGACGATGAAGGCGGCAGCGAGTGGCCAGTGCCCCGAGCACAGGGGTGCCGGGGGGCCGGCCGCGCTGCGCCAGCCCCTTGGAGAGAGCGACGGTGCAACAGCTTGCGCGCGGTCGGCGGGGCAGGCCCGGGCCCAGCCCAGGTGACAGGGTCCAGGCGGCTGCGGCCGGAGTCCGGTCAGAGCCCAGCACCCTGGGCAGCCTCAGCCGCCCTCCACGCCCCACCCCTCAAGCTCCCCCCACCCCCCACGGCCGCACGCGCCTCAGAGACAAGACGCTGCTCATCACACGCCCGCCTGACCCCATGGACTCAGCCAGGAGAAGCGTTTACTGCTCACAGGGAAGCGTCATCTCCGTCTGACAGGATAATAAGTGCGTGCGCCAGGCAGAGCCTGAGGTACGTCGCTCTTCAACGCATTTGCTCCTCCTGACAGTTCCGTGTCCTGTCATTATTTTTTGTGTGTGTGAAAACGTAGGCGCGCGGTCCCCTCAGTTATGTCAACATAAAGCACTTTGAGAAAGTCTGTGGCAAAACCATCGTGAGGAAGAGTAAAGATGGGGCTTCCCCGTCGGCTCAGGGGCCAGTCTCAGGCTGTCACCGCCGCGGCCTAAGTGCGATCCCGGCCAGGGAGCGACCCACAGGGCGCATCTCCTGTCTCCCCGCTGCTCCCCTCAGCAGTGTGTTTCAGTGGATCCGCCTATTCTGCTCCCCGCTCTGTCTCTGGGGAGGAAACCATTTTATGAGGCCAAGATCATCTGACTCCCAGAGCACAGAGAACACCTGATAGAAAACCGTAGGCCCAAATCTCCAATCACAGACACAAAAACCTCACCAAAGTCCTAGCGAGCAAAGATCAACATGGCTCTGGAGGGACCCACAGTCCAGTGGGGCAGATTCCTCCAGCGGGGGCCCCCGTGGCCTGGGGCAGTCACACCCCTTCTGCTGCGCAGAACACGCGTCTGACCAAAGCCGGCCTCTAGCACTACCAAAGACACCCTGGACAAAGCGGGTCCCAGCACGTGAGGGCACCTACCCCCCAGGCCACTGCCCCAGAAGCACCCCCTGGACCAGCACAGGTGCACCAGAGCCACACGTGGACAGAGGCCGCCTGCAGCCCGCCCGGCCCACGCACAGAACTGCCCACCACACACACGCCCAACGCGAGGACGTCAAGCACAGAACAAACTGAAGCAGCAGCATCAAGACAGAGCGGATGCTGCCGGCTGACAGCCAGCGCCCACAAATAATTTTATCCGTATATTCATCACACAAAGCCCGTCAGGAAGAGACAGCGTCACGACCCACCCAAGGCGGCATCGCGGAGGGTGAACAAACAAGCAAGCAAGAAACTCGCTTGTGGTAAGATCTTTGCAATTTAAAGCCAGAACAAGGCACCCTTGGAGGAACTGTTTTGGGAGAAAGCTCAGGGCTGACGTTACCAAGGCCAGCGTGGCCAGCGGTGCTGGGAACCGAGCTGACTGCTCCACAGACATTCTCACGAGATGTTCTTGGGAATCACACGTGGGCCTGGTTACAGGGTCCAAAGTGTGACACGTGCCATGGAGTGCTCACAACTTCTTCCTTCATCTTTCAACGCATTCCGTATATTCGCAACCGAGAGTACCGTCCAGCAGTGAACGCGAACGGCATGGACCTTAGCCGGTGAACACACCTGCTGCTGGGACATGCTACACTGAGCAAAAAAGTGCAGGTCAAAAGATTAAAAAGGCCGCGACCACATGCTCCGCACATACAAAGAGGCAATGAACAAACACTTGCGTCGTAAGAGAATGAGGAAAGGAACAGCACCTCTGCAGGTCCGGGCGTGGCTGGCTGTGGCTGAGCAGCAGAACCAGGCGCTCCGTCCGGGAAGCCGGGCCATCCTGGATCTGAGAATAGCAGAGAAACAGCTGTTTATTCCCCTGTCATTTGTACTTTTATACTATCATAAATATTTCAGATTACACTGGTGGTGTTACGTAAAAGGGGCAAAGGAAGAACACGCAGCCACAGAACGGGAACACCCCGCGATCCCCTCGGAGGATGTGGCTCCTGCAACGCTGTGTTTCGGAAGAAGCGACTTTCCATCATCGAAAGGAGTCAGACTCGTCTGTCGCACAGGAGAGAGGAAACCCCCGCAGCCCCTGCCTCTCCTTTGGGGTGTGTGAGCAATGTCCGTCGCACGGAGGCTGGAAACCACTCGACAGAGAGTACGACAGTGTTTGTGCAATTTCTCCCCCGAGGTCCTCAGGAGACCTGACGTTCTCTGAGTCTGATCAATTCCCGCCCGAACCTTCGGGTGTTGCTAGTAACGGTGTGAAAACTCAACACAAACACCGTCACGTCGAGTGACTTCAGAACGTCATTCCCAACGCTGAGTCGGGTCGAGTCGGAGCCTGGGGGGGGGGGGGGGGAGGGCCCGAGGGCCGGCCCCGTGCTGGTGCCCGGTGAACGCAGGGCAGGGGCCAGCCGGGCCCCCACGGAAGGGGGCTGTGATGCTGAAGGCAACGGAGCCAACCACTGGGAATCCAGCTTTTCCGCCGAGCACACCCTCTCTGCGGGTACTCAGGAAACAAAGCGGAAAACGCTACCTAAGAAGCAAGTGCTTCCCCCCTCACGACTTCTCCGGCCTGGCAGGAACTAAGCTCCTGCTGGACTCGACTCTAAAGGCTAGGAAGGAGGCGCCGCCTTGTCTTGTGTTTCCTGACGGCACCTTTTGTTCATCCCCCTGGGGCTTTCTAGAGCGCTCAGGCTGTCCCATGGCAGAACGTATTTCACCTCCACCTGGGTGGGCCACAGGCGCCAGGTAACCAGCTCGCCGCCTCGCCTCCATGTGGAAAGGGCGCCCCTGCGGCCTGCTCTGCTGGCCGCTGCCCAGGCCCTTTGGAGGCCCAGCGTTGCTATGGAGGAGGCGAGGCACGAGGTGACTCGAGCAGCCCCCGGCGCCACCAGGACCGCGAGCCGGAGACGGCAGGCAGCCCCTCCCGAGTCTCTGCTCAACCCTCGAGCCCGGCCCCCAGGAGCCGGGCAGTAATCACCATGCAATGCGGGCACGTGGTGCCTGGATGGGACCACACTTCCCCCTGGGGGAGATGCCCAGCCTCAGGGACTGTAACTGGCCCCAACACAGGGGGTCTCAGGCCTCCAGCCCCTCCCAAGACTGACAGGAAGAGCCCGGAAGCCGTTTCTAGGCCGTGACCCAGATTCGGCTCCGAGGATGCTAATGCGATGCGGCTTGTTCATCCTGGTGTCAGAACCTATAACTAGACCTGCCCATGCACCCCCCAGACGGAGCCACCACGTCCTGACCCGGTCACTCACCTGCCTGTGCTTCACGCACACCGCAGAGACCTGGGCGAGGCCCTGCTCGGGCGCCAGCTCCAATCAGCCGTGTCTTCCTGCCCTACTTCCACACAGACAGGCTCGCTCATGTCAGACGCCCTCCATCCTGGACATAGCAGGGCCTGAGAGAAGGAGGTCTGGTTGGCACCCCCACGCTGCCCCTCCCTTCCAGAAGGCGTCCAGGTATGCGCCTGGTTCCTGCCGGTGCTTCCACCCCACCCTGCCTTCAATCTCTTCCACCCAACTCGGGACTCTGCGGGTGGCCACCAGACCCAACCCAGGTCCAGCCCAGCTTCCGTCCCGTCCTCACTCCATCTGTCTGGAAATGCTGGCCCCGGTTCCATCTTCCCTGTGGGTTATCCACACTGCTTTACAGGGCGGTGCTGATTCCCCGAGCTATTCTGCTCCACTGCCTCCCTGTGAGCTTACCTCGGCCAAGTCGTGTTGCACCCGCCATGTTGTGAGTTCTGCTGTAGGAGTCAGGCTAACAGGTATCAGCTTAAAATGCACTGGGACGTGCAAAGGCTACAGACTTTATGATGGCGCTGCCAGCAAATGTCAGGAAAGGCAAATCTACAGACGGAAACAGGTAAGTGAACCCAGAAGTCTGGAACTGAGCACGCACAGGTGTGAGACACTTTTGGGTTAATGTAGATTCTTGTCGACTGGATTGTCACAGGGGCGTGCAGCGCTACAAACTCAGTGACAACATCACCTCAAAATGGGTGAATCTTACGGCATGCAGAGCATACACCTCAAAAAGGCCAATAAATAAAAAGCCAGCAACAGGGAGTGTTGGGAACAGAGATGAGACGAGACTCAATTTTTGACACTTGGTTATCAATTATTGGTGATTGTTGAAGATGACGCATGGACAGTGAGTTTCCACATATAATCCTACCTTTATGCCTGGAATTTCATAATAAAAATTTAACAGAAGTGAACGTGGTCTGTTGTCATTATGTCCTCAAACTTTTCTGTTATATTTTATCCTGATATGCTTTACTCCTCAGAAATTTCTTCTTTTTTTTTTTTTAAGATTTATTTATACAAGCGCTGGGGTACAGGTCAGAGGCACGCCAGGGTGAGAGAATTCACCAAAGACAGAGCGGGAAACAGAACAGGCAGACGGCCGAAGACACTGCTGGAAGCAGCGGGCGAGACAGAAGGGGTCTGCCCTGCCATGTGGGTTGCCCTGCTGCCAGCTGGGCTCAAACCAGCACTGCAGAGGCTGCAGACAGCTTCACAGTGTGGCGCTCAACCCGCTGTGCTACTGGGGAGGCCCAGAAATTTCTTCCTTTCTACACCGAGATTTTTCTCCTCATAGATTTTACTTGATGAAAGCCTTTTCCTCAGAGAAATCTTGACTCAGACTTTATTTTCACAGACTTTTCTCCTCATAGAATTTCTTCCTTGTGAGATTTTCCTCACAGATTGTTCTCATCATACATTTTCTCTTCACAGAATTCTCTCCACATAGAATTTTCTCCTCAGACTTTCTCCTAAAGTTTCCTCCTCCCACTTATCTCCGCAAAGATTTTCTCCTTAGAGACTTATCCTCGAAGAATTTTATTCTCTAAGGCTTTTATCTTCAGATATTAGTCCTCAAACTTTTCTTCTCAGACTTTCGTCATTACAGATTTTATCCTCATAGGCCTTTTTCTCATAGAATTCTCATGCTTTTCTCCCATTCTTTTCTGTCCTACTTTTTTCCTCAAGACATATTTTCTTTTCTCACAGAATTCTCTCATAAACATTTTTACTCATGGAATTTTCTGATTTTCTCCTAGTGTTACAGAGCAACCCCAATATAAAACGGGTTGCCTGACTGTGGGCCCTCATCCACACACTTAAAGAGGACTTATTAATGCTAAACTGCAGACATACACAAAAGGTTGATACAAGTTTATTTACAAGGGAAGGGGAAACGCGGAAATGAGTAACTCAGGGAGAAAAAGGGGGAGCTAAGTTCATAACGTCCTACCCGTTCCACTTACCTGGAATCCCAATGACCCACCGAGCTGGCAAAAAACCTAGCACGCCGCGTGGCCAAGAAGGCGATCCCCAGCCACACCGCCAGTTAAATACTTGAACCGAGAGCCTAGTTGCTTAACTCTGCCCTCAGGTCCTCGAAACCTTCCCTTTGGGGATCATGGGATTTGTAGCTCCCAGTGTCTTGAAGGAGTGGAGGTGCAGTCCACAATGCCTGTATGGAGTTTGCTCAGGACATCCTTTCCCCCTAACACTACAATTTTCAGACTCTATTGACTTTCCTTCTCACATACTTTTTCCTCAGAGATTTTTCTCATCATATATTTTACTCTCAGACTTATCTCCTCACAGACTTTTCCCCTCAAAGGATACTGCCCACATAGATTCCCCCCCCCACAGGCATTTTCTTTTCACAGTTTTCTTCTCACAGAATACTTTCCTCCAAGGCTTTCTCTACCTCAGAGACTTTTCTCCTCAGGTTTTATCTTCAAGATCTTATTCCTCATCAAATTTTCTTCTCAGACTGTCTTCACAGACTTTTAACCTCATAGGCTTTTTCTTGACAGAATTCTCTCCTCATATACTTTTCTCCTCTTAAATGTTTCTGCATAGACTTTCTCCTCAGATATTTGTCTTCATTTATCTCACCCTTGACATTTCTCTTCAGAATCTTTCCTCTTTTCTCCCCTCCCCTCTCTTTTCTCTTTATCCTTTTGTTTCTAGTCTCTTCAGATATTTCCGGCTCCTGACACACTTCTCAGACATTCCTTTTTCTACATTTATTTCTTCAGAGACATTTACTCATACCCCTCTGTACCACGGATTTCTGTTTTTTTTTTGTAAAGTTATGACATATATTCTATCAGCATATGAAAGGGAAAGGCATTCTTAATTTTCAAGGAAGTGAATTTTTTACATATTGAAGATTTTTAGTTATAATTATCTTTTTATAGATTCTTAATAATATTCAAATAGTTCTCTAGTGTATGTAAAACTCTCCAGTGATGTGTTTAAATTCACCCTTCTTTAGTACCATGTTCCATGGAAATATTTATTGTACATTAATTTTTCAAAAATTATTCCATTTACGTGGCAGTTATTTAATATCCTAATTTCTTGTAAAATTGCATCCTTAGTACTTTAAAGCTTTAATTTTGCCTAATATGAATCATGCATCATTAAAACTGTCCATTTTACCTGGTTTTTAGAATTGTTTTTGTCTTGTTGTCTATTTTACAGCTGAATCACCTTCTTTACACACATATCCACTTATGCGTATTTTTATTTTCTGAATGCAAAGAGGATGTTTTTATTTTATATTTATAGAATTGACAGATATATTTTAGCTTTATATCGTCTCATTAAATGTTATATTTTCACCATTGTATTTAGATTTCCATGTTTTTTTTATTTCTCATATTTTTTCATATTCAATGTTTTCCCCATGTGGTTTATTGTCTTTTTATGTTGTATGTCCACGCTTTCTTTCAGAAATAATCACTTTATAATCTGATTTTACTGTTGGAATTTTTTTCGTTTTAACTTCTATTAGCTTGATTATTTTACATTCAAATAGTATGTTTTGTCCTCGTGTATGTCACAGAGACATAAGGAAAGTAGTATTCTTGGGCCTCCCCTGGTGGTGCAGTGGTTGAACGCTGGGCTGCAAAGCTGCCCACAGCCTCTGCAGCACCAGTTCAATCCCCGGCCACCGTCCAGGGTCCCACATGGCGCGCAGACCTCTCCTGCCGCGCGCTGCTCCCCTCAGCAGTGTATTTCGTCAGTCTGCCTATTCTGTTCCCCGCTCTGGCTCTGGTGAATTCTCTCACTGTACCCAGTGCTTGCATAAATAAATAAATAAATAAATCTTTAAAAAAGAAAAGTAGTATTCTAGATTTTTCAGACTTCCATCCTCACAGTGTACATTCCAATTTGTGTGACCTACATTGTAAGGTCCTCCATCTTCTAGTTCTACAGACTCCACATTCACCACCAACCTTCACAACGACTTCTCTGTCTTTCGTCGGGACAATTTCATGATTAGGTGTTTTCTCCAGGAGCTGCGCGTGTTATAGTCTCCATTTCTTTCCTTGACAGAAAATAACTGTGTCTTCATGTTTACAGGAAAACGGAGGGGCGAGGATTAGGAAAATGCACCCTGGAAGCAGGGCCCTCTAATTTTTTGCTGCACCTACTGGTGTCCTCATGATGGCGAAGGGCCACCTGGGCCCCCCCAGGATCTCTGAGGCGACCTGGGGCGTAGGGGCTCCGGGGGTGCCATGGGCCTCCCATGGGCCACACCAGCCTCTTGGGCTCGCGGCTGGTACTCTCCGGTTTTCCAAGCCGGAGTCTCCAGGAGGCCTCTTGAGCGCAGCTGGGGGACACCTCAGGCAGCAGGACGCTGCTTTCAAGTTTTCTCTAGATTTGGTGTGAATTTTATTTCTCATATTAACTCAAGGAATTGCAGCTATTTCCTACTTTCATTAAAAACTGAGGCGTCTATGTGGACTTTTTTTTTTGCCACTTTCTGTCGGATTCAGAAGGGAGGGGGTAGAAAGGGCTTTAATTTGCCATTTTTATCCAGAAGTGTCCAGATTGCTTTCTCACTGACTCATATAACATAAAGATAGTTGCTCGGGACAGTTTAATCACACACTTTCTGTAAAGTGGTAACTGAATTTTCCCTGAAGGGACGTTAAACGCTGTAATTAATTGAAAGCACAACATACCAATTTCGCTTGAGCTGTGAAGACGCGAGGCCCGGGCGCCCCTCAGCTGTCCTCGCCTTCCGTCCGCTCCGCGCGGGCCTGCGCGGCTCCACCGTCTCCGGGGCCTCCAGCCGCGGGGCGCGTCCATGTTCGGTAAAGGGCGTCCAGGCCCGGCCGCCAGGGCCCGGCGGGCAGCTCGCTCGTCTCCCGCGGGCGCTCCCGGGGGGAGGGGCCGTCGTCCTTCCAGACTTTTCCAGGGAGCGCCCGGAAGTGACGGCTCAGGGCGGTCACCGGGCGCCGCGGGGTCCGGCCGGCTGACAGGAGGCGGCCGTGTGGGGCGCGGGGGGCCTGGGGAGGAGCAGGCCGCGCCCGCCCACCCGCCGGCCGGCCGGGCCGCCCCCCACCGCGGCTGCCCCCCCTGTGGCCAAGGCCCCGGAGCGTCTCCGGGGAGATGTCCCGACCCGCTGGGCGCCCCGGAGGGACGGGGCAGGCAGCGGCCTCACCCCACGGCAGCACAGCGGGCCCCAGAGCGCGCCTCGGCCCGGATCCCGCGCAGCGCCGGCGCCCGGCGTCCACTGGCGTCCACTGCGGCCCCGAGCGCAGGCCGCGGGGCCGGGGGGGGGCAGGAGGGGCAGGAGGGCCGGGAGGGGCAGGGCAGGCGGGCGGCAGGGCCGAGGCGGGTGGGGAGGGGGGCACGGGGGGAGGGCCAGCGGGGGAGGGGCAGGAGGGGCAGGAGGGGCAGGGCAGGCGGGCGGCAGGGCCGAGGCGGGGGAGGGGGTCGCGGGGTGGGGAGGGCCAGCGCGGGCAGGACGGGCGGGAGGGGCGTCCTCACAGGCGGTACCTGGCGCAGACGCCGCGATCTTTTCACTAGCGAAACTGTTTTGGGCACTTGCGCCCCAACTTTTGGGCCGATCACCCAGCCTTGGCCACCCTCGCCGCCAAGTCCCCCCCACGCGGCGGGCACCGTTGTGTTGTTGAACATGAGAAAAATCGTCCCCAAGTGGAGTCTCCACCCAGGCCAAGACCCCGCAGCTCAACCTCTGCGGGAAGCAACCCCCCACCAAGGAACCTGGGGTCCCCTGGGGTCCCCGGGCCCGGGAGCGCCTGCACGCCCTGCCCGCACGCCGGCGTCCTGCCCTCGGCTGTCCGAGACCCCATCCTGCCCGCGCGGCAGGGGCCAGGGGTCTGCCAGCTCCTGAATCCTCTAAAATTGTGAGTTGAGTTTTGTTTCTTAACCGTTTTTATACTAAATTGCCCCATAATCATTTTTAACATTTTTATAAACCCTTTGCAAACCCTGTTTTTCAGACATGAAATTAAGTGTCTGATCTGTCTCTCCAGCTCAGCAGGTGTAGGAGCCGCAGCCATGACTCACGTGCAGGTGAGAGGCCACAGTGCAGCCTTTCATATGATTAGTGTGTGTGGGCTGTATGTGTGTGTGTAGGGTGTGTGTGCTGTGGTGGGGTGTGTGTGTGTGGTATGTGGGGTGTGTGGGGTGTGTGTGGTGTGTGTGGTGTGTGGTATGTGTGTGAGCGCGGGCACTCACTGCAGTTGCCCAGCCAGGCTGTCCCTCCCAGAAGACTTCCGGCCCTGTGCCCTGAGTCCTGCCCGTCTCCTGAGGCTCCTCTGTGCTTTGTGCCCGGCCTCGGTGGACCTCCAGTGGACAGCTGACCAGGTCTTCAGGCTTTATCAAAATATAAGTCGTTTCAGCGATTTTTTTGTTATTATTTTTCCATAAACCTTTTTAATGACATAGTAATACTCCATCGAGTTTGAATTTCATAAATTTCTGAATCATGACCTTTTGCTGGGCATTTGTTTCTACTTTTTCAAAATTACAGATAACAAAAAGGTCGTCTTCTGTGGGTTTAAACATGGTGTGAAGGTGGCGTCAGCTGCTGTGCTATCATGCTCGCTTCGGCAGCCAAGTTCGCTGCATCACTTCTCTTCTTGGAAACCGGACGTGGGAGCGTGTCCACACCCACACCTCATCTTTGTTTCCTCCCGTTGCTCTGGGATGCACAGTGACATGACGGATGGTCGTCCAGTCCTGATACAGATACAGAGATGCGCGGGGTCCAGGGTGACCGGCGGCTTGTGATGGAGGTCGGGGGGACGCCAGGGCTGCAGGGGAGCAGCTGGAGCATCTAGATGAAGCCCACTGGGGTGTGATCAGGGAACAGAGCCCCGGGGGCAGGAAGGTTGCTGTGCACGAGCTGGAGGAGATGCAGGCATGGAGAACTCTCGTAGACTTGAGAGTGGACAGAGGTGGAGGGTGGACGCTGGTGAAGACTAGGCAGGGGAGGATATTTTAGAGATTGCGAAACTACACTTGCTGGAGCTTTTTTTAGAGGAAGAAATAGGAGCCAGGGCAGAGAGGGGTGCAGAAGGGCAGACTTCACACAAGCTTCTGTGAACAGCTGAGCACGGTTCTTCAGATACAATTAGACCGTCGGTTTTTCATGAAAATATATTTTGGAGGCCTCCCTGGTGGCGCATCAGGTGGAGCACAGCACTGTGAAGCTGTCTTCAGCCTCTGCAGCGCAGGTTCGATCCCTGGCCGGCCGGGGAGATTCCCACATGGAGCAGCAGGCCTCTCCTGTCTCCCGCTGCTCCCTTCAGCAGTGTCTTCGGTTCGTCTGCCTGTTCTGCTCCCCGCTCTGTCTCTGGTGAATCCTCTCACCCTCCCGCGCCTCTGGCCTGTACCCCAGCTATTGTATAAATAAAAAATAAATCTTAAAAAAAAAAAGAATATATTTTGGAAGCAAGTTACACAAACACATTTGGAACAAAACACTCATTTGGTTTCTCCTGTGTTTTCATTTTTCTTTGTTTACATCTTGAATGTTCTTAATTTTAGCGCTGCTGTGTTTACACAATTAACCGTGCTGTCATTTGCGAGTAAATCACATTTTCGACTAAATGTGTTTGGGGGAAGATACGACTATTCATCACGCGCCAGCGCCTTACAGATGGACAGCAGTGCGCTGAGCTGGGCCTACACCCACCGTGTCTTCTAAACAGTTTGTTTAAAACGTTTTGTCTGAACAATTGTTTGATTCATCGCCTCGTTTCTGTGGTGGAGGAAGAACTTGGACGGTGTGTGACGGCCGGGCTAAGAACCAGGCGGGAGCCAGCACGCCCAGAGCCTGAGAGGGCCAGGCTGCTTCCAGGGGAGACGGGGCAGGCTCAGCCACCCCACCCGGCCACCCGCCGAGCTCCCCCATCAGAGTGCCCGCCTGATACAGGAGCAGACAGGAGCGAGGGCCCGCGCGCAGGGCGTGTGCGTCTCACACACGAATACGAAACTTTGCAGTGGGCCGAATGCCGGGACGGAGGCCAGACAACTCGTGAGAGAGAGAGCGGGGTTGGGGGGGGGGTGTATGTAAACGAACCAGAAAGTCGCTTCAACCCTCTGGGCCACAGAGGAGCAGCGTCTGCGGGGGCGCCCAGCCCCCCTCCCCTTGCAGCCCCGCGCCCGCAGCAGCCAGGCTCGTGCTCTGGCGGCGCCATCCCGCGTCCCTGTACACGGCGGCCCCGCATGGAGGGCCCGGCCGGGCCGGGCGGAGGACACGGGCGGCCCAGAGGCCAGCTGCGCGTGGGTGCTCTCGGCACAAATGCCCGCCACGGTCAGAGCCGAGCTGCGGGGCTGCGGGGGAGGCGGCGCCATCAGCACCCAGCCCAGTGGCCGCCCAAGGGGGCCCCGAGCCCCGAGTCACGCCGGAGCCACGCTCTGGGGCTGAGACTATCCACGACTTGGCCTGGTGTGTCCCGTGCAGGGCGACTGCGGGCCCTTCAGCAGCCGAAGACCCTGTGGTCCCGTGGAGGCTGGAATGACCTGGACCCTTGAGTCTCCCTGCTCTGGCTTTCCAGTCAGCCAATATGATGGTTGCTACAGATAGCGAGACTGCACACTACGCAAATGTGTGTATTTAATGACACTGACGTGTAATAAATAATTTTTATAGGGTGATGATAGCTGCATGTCCACCTCACCGCAGGTCTTCTGACGCCTCACAGCTCTTTAATGTCCAGTGGACGTTGCACGTCGTGTCCCGGTGGATGCCGGACAGCCAGGTTCAGTGGTTATTTTTGACCTGTGCTGTCGGCTATCTTCCCGGGGCTGTGAGGCGTTCGCCCTCCCGGCTCTGCTTCCTCCCGTTTTTATATTATTATTTGCTGTCATAAATTAACCAGTCATTATTTTTCAACATGCAAATTACACACAACATCACGCCGACACCCGAGACTGGACAGGGCACGGCGGGTGAAGACGGAGCCTGAGCAGGGCTGGGGACGGGGCCGGGGCATGAGCTCTCATGACCGGTGACCAAATAAGAGCTGCATGAAGCTTGTCGCCAACTTTAAATTTTCGTTTCTCCCTGAAGCAGACCCAAAATGTGAAATAATTCTCATGGCCTCGAACTCAAGAGGCAACACGTCACCAAACCGTGTCAGGAGGGCGTGTCCCGGGGCGACCTAGCCAAGCCCCAGAGTCATCACCGCTGAATTCGAAATCCAACTGTGAAATGCCCAGAGGGCAAGCTTTCACTTCCAAGACAATCATTTGAAAGAAAACTTCTAAAAGGGGGTTGTATATCTTTTTCCTGCCTGTATTTCTCTGTGTAAGCACGAGAGCCGCAGCCCACAGGGCGGGTGAGCGCCCTCTCCCCCGGCCCCTGTCCACCCTGACCCCAGGACCCGGCTCAGGAAGGCCATCAGAGTCCCCCCTGCATCCTGCAGAAGTCGGGGCACCCACAGTCTCTGCAGGTGCGGTGCCTGCACCTCCAGGCCAGGGGACTCGGGAGCGGAAGGAGCTCGAGCTGGGCAAAGGCTGGCGGCCGGCGGAGCAACTGCACCCTCACTGCAAGGACGGCCGTGTCCTCCCTCCCAGCCGCGGCCTGTGACCAGGGACGCCAGCCTCGGCGTCTGGGGGGCGGCAGTTCTTGCTCTGGCTCTGGAGTAAATGGAGCACCCTCGGTCATAGTCAGACCTTCGGCTTCCAGGCGTGATCGCGGCCTGGGGGCCTCTGGGCTCCCCACCTCCCTCCCGCAGCCCCTGCCTTGGCCACTGGAGTGACCACCCTGGGGCCTCCCAGCAGGCCAGCCCCGAGGAACACCCACCCTTGGGTCTTTCCTCAGCCCTCCAGGCTGACGGGCTGACGCTGGCCGGACCAGACCCGTCTGCTCAGCTTGCAATCCGAGGGAAGGAAAACCTGACACCGCTTCCCGGAGGGCAGGCCTCCTCCCGCCCCTGAGGGGCCATCACGGGCTCTGCCCCAGGGGGTCCAGGCCAGCCTCTGTGGAGCCTTCCAGAACCAAGCCAGCTCTCAGGAAACCAGGCCCTCCCATTGCCCCTCAGACCGGGGCCAGCGGGGCCCAGGGTGCCCGGCTCCGGCCCCCGGGAAAGGCCCCTGCTCTGCGTCAGCCTTCTCTGTCCACCAACCCAGCGTTACTTCCAGTCACCGCGCAAGCCGGCCCGCGTCGGAAAGCATAAGCGGTGAAAGGTGACGACAGATTCTTCTCAGATTTAATTTTCTCACAGTTCCAATCTGGACGCTCACACCGATGACACAGCTTCGTTTCAACTGCCTGAATAAGAAACTGAGAGGCAGGTAACCGAAATGCATTCTCGTCAGGACGTTCTTCTTCTCTAGCATAATTAAGCAGGAAAATCGGTTGAGCCTACCCGGAAAATCAATTTGGTTTAAATCTTTAAAAGTTATGTTTTCATTGTAGGTAATCACGAAGGACAATGAAGGGGACGTGTCTGAATTCACCTTCCTTGTCAACAAGCAAAAATGGATCCCCAGACTGAGACGCGTAGCATAAATAAATCTTTTAAAAATATATATTGAACAATAAACTCAGTCAATTAGCAAATAAAATTGAAAACAATTCCATGAATTCATTCTGCAAGCTTCCACGGCAGGCCTGGAGCGGGGTGCAGGGAGCGCCGACCTCTGTTCCCCCCTACGCGGAGGGGATGCCTCAGGAGGCCTCAGGGCAGGAGGGGAAGGGGCACGGGCCTTGCCGCTGCTCACACTCTCCACGACATGCGGGAAACAGAGTTCAGGGTCGGCGCGAGGCGAGCAGGAAGAGGCGGTGTGGCTGCACTGCGGGCGGTGTCCAGAGATGCTCCGCCCCCGGGGCCGGTGAGGTCTGCTGACCACGCTTCTGCCCGTGAGGAGTCGTGTCACCCAGGGGCACTACGGGGCTCCACAGGGGCTGGCACGGTCACTCCCCTCTCAGCTGGCAGCTCCCAAGTCCACCTGAGCCCCAGCCCCGAGGAGGCTGCAGACGTGTGTGGTCTTGGGAGACAGGTGACCACGAGGCCCGTCGTAGGTCTGGGCCGGGGAGGCCGCTGAGTGGACCTGGCTCGTGACAAGGCCCTGTGGTCACTGAGGAGTCACCTTAGACCAGAGGCCTCAGGCCCTGGGGCACAGGCCTGGGCTGTGGGGAGGTGGTTGTGTCCCGTCAGGAGGACCCCCCGAATCTCATGGGAGGGGAGGGAGTTTCTGTGCCAAGATTTGTTCATGTCAAGGCAGAGACTGCCCCCCCCCACCCCGTGACAGCAGGGCAGCAGCCTCTCACGGTGGGCCTGGAGGACCCCCGCTCTCCCGCCCCCTCCAGAGCTGCGCCCTCCCCTCCCGGCCCCCTGGGCCCCTGCAGCGGTGTCTGAAGACCCTCAGTCACCACCAAGGCCGACCCCACCCCCCAGTCCCTCGCTGTCCGGGGGAGCAGGAGGGCTGGTGGCTCGCGGGGTCACGCTGTGCCGCCCCTGCCTGCGATTTCTGCCCTGAGTACCCGCCGGGCGTGGGGCCTGGGACTGTCCCGTCACTCGGAGAAAGACGGCGCGAGCCGGCACCGTCAGGGCTGCCTGAGCCCGCCGCCAGCCAGGAGCGACAGAGCCCTCCCCTCCACGGTAATTAAATGCTGCAGAAATTAATTAATGTCTTACAAACCATATGAATAAAAAATTACAGGAGTGAGAAAGACGGAGCTTTTCCATAAAAGAATAAATTACTGCCTGTCACCCTTCCGCGATGGCAGCCGTTCACAGCGCGGCTCACGGGAGCGGCTGCGGCTTCGCTCGCCCCAGGGCGCCCGGTCCGCGAGGCCCCGGAGCCTGTGACCCCACACGCGACCTGCCCTCACCCCCCCATGCTGCGCTCAGGATGGACCTGGGCCCGCTCCAGCCCCGCACAGGGGGGCTGACCCCCAGCTCCCCCGCCCCCATCACGCCTCTGGCCGGGCTGGGGCCTGGGCTGCCCTCCCGCCGGTGGCGGCCTGAGGCGCAGGGGCAGGGGAGCTGGAGTCTCGGCTGCTCCCAGGCTTCTCAAATCCCTGCGGCACAAAACAGGCCTTTCCAAGCCACAGAACAGGGCTTTCCAAGCGTGACAGCAATCCACCCTGAGTGTGTGTGCGCGCGTGCGTGCACATGGGTGCACATAGAAACACACACTCGCCCTGCTCTGTGTTTAGCCTGAGGCCACCCGCGCCCACACAGAGGTGATGATGTCTCCAGGGCTCCTGCTGCACGGAAGCTGGTACACGCGGCCACTCCAGCGCGGGCCGCTCTGACGCCGGGATCAGCGCCTTCCCGAGGCCGCGGGCAGGGCTGGGGTCCTGTGCGTGGGGGTTCCGCGCCCCTGGGACAGCACCAGTCGCCGTCTGCTGCTCAGCTTACCTGCCGAGCTGATCTCCCGCCGCCCCTCGC